ATTATTATAATAAATTTTTTGAAACTTAATTTTATAATTAAATTATTTTAAAACCTTTTAAAAAACTTAAAATCTTTATTAATAAAGTTGATAAAATATATATTAAACTATATTTTTATATAATAATAATATTATTAAAATTAATATTTAATATTTTATAAAGAAATTAACACTTTTTTTTTAACTTCGCAGGCAAATTTGCCTGCTTTACTGTCTAAGGGATACTTGGTCAAGATCTTCAATTTGTCATTAAATTTGGAACTACTCATGTAATTTGCTATAATAAAAATTTGTTATAGTGAGGTTCTGTAACACATTTTACCATAATTATAAATTTATGTCTAAAATAAACTTATACCTAGCTGATAACAATTCTAAATATAGTATTAGAAAAATTCACATTTTCCTATGATATTCGTCTTATTCTCATAGATAGCTTAAAGTTATTCACCTTAATGAGAATAAATAAATATGCTTTCCTTATTTTTTAAGTTCATTATTTTACATATCTTTTTATGTGTTCTTTATTTTACAAAGTGTAAAATAGTAGTTTTTGAAAAAAAACAAAACAAAAAATCACACAACTAATTACTTCAAAAATGATGGAAACAGTGGAATATTAGAGAAAAACTTGAAAATAATAAATGCTGTAACTTGAAAATTAATAACTCGTAAAGCTGTTACTTTATCTAAAGATCTGCAATATACAGTACAAGAAAAATTTTTAGTTTGAATATTATTATTTTTTATACTTTTATATTTTTTATTTTCTGTAAAATTTATATGTTATTTCAAATTTCTTAATCATTTTGTATACATCAATTTTCTAAAAAATTATAAAAAAATAAATCATTATAAAACATACGGAATTATGATACAGAATCATCAATTACATATAGAAACCTTATAAAAAATATATCATTTCCTTATTATGATTTCTTATAGGGATATTATTTATTATTAATAATACATTATTACTTTAAATATCAGAAATAAAATTATTATAAAAATAAACCTTTTATTATTTTTAATAATAATAAATTGTTCTAAATATCAATAGTAATATTTATTATTAAAAAAATTTTTTAATAATAAAAAATCTGATTGACAAATCATAGATAATATATATTATTAAAAAATAATAAATCTGATTTGACAAATAATAAATTATATAGGGTATGCTGCAACAAAACCAGACAAAGTAAACATTGGTATTACCAAGAATTTCAGGGATCAATATTATTTGTTTAACATCACAATTGTATTACCAATGTAATATTCATCTAGACAAAAATAGTTAATATGAAACTCATTTATATCAGATCTACTATGGAACCAAAGAATTATAGCATCATTACATTAGAAGTATTTTAAAAAAGGAACAAGGTGAAAAATTGCTCCTTACATTTTCAAAATAAATGATACTCAGGTACTTGAAACTTATCTATGAAATTTGCCAAGAAGAAAGAAAAATAATAATAAAAGTATGTTATTACAAGTGCATGCGTTCGTTGCATAGTTAACTATAATATTCAAAAAAGCGTGATTTTAGGCCAATCAAAATTCGATTTCATGTGATATATTGTTTTGATCTAATTTTAGAACTTTGTCTACATTTCCTATTATTCCATTCGTTGTTTATCTCTCTCTACGCGATTACATATCTATTTTTATTACTTTTATTATCACTATGTCCCGATTACAATCATCCAATACTGAAGTAGGCGAACAATTTGAATGTCGTGTCCATAACCTTTTGCAAACAACAAACCGTTATTTTTTTCGTCCTCTGTAAGACTTTTCTTATTAAGTACTTATTGGTCATTTATGTCTGAAGTTACGCTGCTTAGTTTGAGGGTAATCAACAAGAGAACTGGAAGCGCTCCGTGGCCACCCCGTGGCTGAGTCGAGCGGTTTAGGGTGAACGTCCTTCCTTGTTGCTCTTATTTTCAAACTAAGTGAATAGGGCATATAGGGTGGTGGCTTTGACTCGACGGGTTCATTTCTCTTTTGATGGCATTAACAATAATTACTTAGTACTATTTTTTATTATTTTATAGTGGGTTACCAGGTGATACTGGGATAGACATTATGGGGTCCTACTGTGGGTTTGCGGTACTAGTAAAATGCAAGGACTGGAATTCCAGAATTCTGGTAGGGGAAATAGTACGATTTGAAGGGGCGCTAGCTCGGTACTGTAATTTTTCTTCTATTCTTTCTATTACTTGAATTATTTACTAAAATTTTCCCTTATAGGTATCTTCCAGAAACTACGGTGGGTATGTTCTGTATTTCGGAGCGTGGTTATTTTTCTAATGCGGCTATACAGCACGCTCAAGGATCTCGTTATAATTTGCTGCTTACTTCATCGAATCAAATTCTAGAGGATATCAAGAGATTTCGTCTAGGTCCTCAGGGGTTGATTTGTAAGGAGGTTTTGAAGGAAATTTTAAAGATTCGGGAAATTGAAGAACAGGGAAGAATGGAAGTACTATTAAATCAGGAGGAGATTTTGAGGACGAATGATCATTTAGAGAGGGAAATAAAGGATATTAATAGGAGAATTCTTGGGTTTGAAAGGAATCTTCGGGAAAGTAGAGAAGTGGATAGAGTTCGTGATAAAGAGAGGAAGCAACGAGATTCTAGATGTTTTTGGGCTTCTGTTTTGGCTTTTATTTCTATTATGACTTACGTACTTTATATAAATAAATATATCACTTATCATGCTAATGTAAATAGATAACCGCGAGCTTCGATGACCACACCTATTCTTTGGGCTCGCGATTACTATCATTATCCTTATTATTACGATTAATAAAATATTACTGCTACTTGAAAAATCATTATTTCTACTACTACTAATAACAATCGGATTATCTTTTTCTGATTTTTTAAATTTTTCTTGGCGAAAGTGATCTGTGAGTTCCTGACCATTAGTCAGGATGTTACATAATTTTAACTAACAGAAAAACTTCTTTCAAGACGTGTGCAGTAAAATTTTTTTTCCGAGTATTTGTAATAAGTTATATAAATTAATATCAAACATGCAAGATCAAAGGGATTAGATTTATTAAAACTGGAATTGGAGCGAATAACAAAAGAAAGAAATATGCTTGAAGCTGAGATTATGAAGCTAAAACATATTATAGAAGAAAATGCTAAACGTGAAGCCGAGGATATTAACCTTACATCAGTAATATTTTGAGCTTAAGGACTCTCAGGGTTTCTTTAAAATGCTACGGAATCCTTAAAGGATTCTTAGTTTTTGTAGATCCTTAGGGATTCTTTCAAAATTTTTAAGGATCCCTAAAGATTCCTTAAATTTCTTGGATCTGTAAGGATTCTTCGATACAAAATTTACAAAGATCCTCAAGGAATCTTGGTAGTCAAATCAATTAAGCTTATAAAATTAAACTTTTTAAATAATAAACTTGAACAATTGATAATTCCTGAAGATACTTATTGGAGAGTAAAACAGTTTTATTGAAATAATTATTATTAAATATAACAATCTTTTAGAAACTTGCACTAAAAACATGTAAAGCTCAATTATCCAACCTTGGTCTCTATCCTGATGATCGAGAATTTAAAACTTGTTTCGAAGCAATGTTCAACCATAGTTTCAGAAGATTTGATAGTTGAGGACAGCAACGATAATGACGGTAGTAGCAATAGTAAATTTGTTAACGATAATATCGATAATGATATAACCATCAACAACATTGTCCTCAATAATAATAAAAGCAGTGGTGATAGTAATTGTTCAGATATAATTATTTACTTCTGATACTCCTTTAAGGATAACGGAGCTGACTGAGGAGAATGAAAGTGAAGAAGGGTTTATGATAGAATTGGAATTAAACAAAGGTAGTAACATGAGGTGCTATAGTTATGGTGAAGATGTACCTGATCTTCCTAGCAATTTGGTTGTCGTTAACGAAAATACAAGTCAAGGCAATAAAAATAAAGACTTGTCAAGTGATGAAGCATTAGAGTTAGTAATAATTGGTATTGGAAGCAAACCATTCTTATTATTATAGTAAACTTATTAAAGTGGCTAATGGAATATTGGAAGAGCATCAAAATTATGTGCCAATAAAAATATGTGAGGCTTCACCCCATTACAATTGATTTGGTTCATGTTTTTTCTCAATTCCTCGATTAATCCTATCAATTTATTTGTTAACTCTTTTTCTTTTTCTAATGGTACAGATGCTAGAGAATTTATTTGTAGGATTGATGTGATCCTTTCGATAGTTTCATCTTTTTTGATGTTTGCTTTTTGCATTTACAGGACGATTGTTGGCGATCCTTATCAATTTCGCTTTTGACCGAAACAATTTTAATTCTGTTGATGGTATTTATTAACAGATATTTATACACCAAAGAAAAAAATTTTGGTACTATCGAAATTTACTGACATGCAAAAATCATTATTGAACAATCGAAGGACATCAGAATGAATACTATTCAGGTAGTTCATTGTTTGTTGGTGATAATGACGGTAACGATAACGATCAATAATAAAAATTTCCAATCTTGATCATCTTTATTGTTTAGAATATTAAAATACCGTTTGTTCCATCTTTGACTGAGGCAAAAGTACGATGGTTTGGTTCGTAGTTTTCCATCCACTTTGTTGGTGGAAGGTGATGTTATTGAAATGATATATGATGACATCGCCCCTTGTAGAATAAAAGTGATTTCTCAGGATCTTAACAGTGATCTCGACAATAAGGAACAAGATAATAAGGAACGTCATCACAATCACAACAGTCACGATTTTTCTCAAAATAAAACTTCATCACTGCCACCACCATCATCGTCATCATCATCATCACCAGCGGTAACAGCCGCTACTACGGTCAAAGAGAACAAATATACTCGAAGCTAGGAAAATGTTTAAACCATCGTCATTTTCGGGTGACATACCTTCGCAAACAGTATGGGAACAACATTTGAAAAATAAGGGAAGATATCAATTCGTGCTATTGGAAACTCCTTGGGCAAATTGTTTGAGAGCTGCCCTACAACAAAAACGTCCACCCCCGTCATTTTTAAACAAGCCGAGGCCCTTCAAAGCATTTTTTTACACAAGATACTTCCCGTCATAGCAGCGATCGCTTTCATTATAGATATATAACCGCAGAGGTTGGACAGTACCGTTTGTTTAACCAAGCGTTCGAAATATTGATTGTGTTGCAACTTTATGCTATTTTACCATGTTACCATGGCCGTTTCTGGTCTTGTGGATAGTGGTGAGAAGTTTGGCGAATGCCACTATTTTAGTATTGTTCGATCTCAAAAACACGAAAATGACGAAGAGGTTGATGAGTTTTACGCCGAAGCCTCACCTCACACAAAGAACGTACATCTGGATCGTTCGGCTGTTTGAAACGAGTTTTGTGTTATCAAAATGGGATGGAACGTTGCTTACTCGTTCAACAAATTTGTTCGAGTCATTGGGCAGCACGACCATGATATATTCGATTGATCGCGAGGGAACTATATCTTCTCCCTTCACATCTGTTGTTTCCTGATGAAAATAATGATATCACGATCTTGGATGTTACGGAAGATTCAAGTTCATCTTTTGGTGTAAAATTCGAAGATCAAGACTGGGAACAACATCTATCGTATATATATATATATATATATTTATATTATTCATTTATTTCTCACTCCTCCTTCCTTCCTTGATGCTCCTCTTAAAAAGTAACATTAACTTCTATATATTATTGCATCCATACATATATGTGTACATAATAGGCGACTTAAGCCATTGGGACTTAATCTATTACTTAATACAAATTGTGGCGTCGAGAACTAATTGATCAACATCGAAAATATTCTAGTTTATACATTAACTCTAAAACCAAACCTGCAAGACAATGTAAAACAATTATTGTTCAATCAATCATTATCAATATTAATTTCGTGAACATTAAAGTAACATACATTCTACATGCATTTATTTACTTTTGTTCTATGAAATTGAAGCTTGTTTGTGTAGATTAGAGAAAGAAATAGGATTTACGGTGGATGCGTTACAAGTTTTTTCAAAAAGAAATGAACTTTTTACGTGTGCACCATGTCACCCGTCATTAAATGAACGTGTCAGAAACGATAGATGGGAAGTTCTAGTATGATATCTTCGATATATGATGCGGGTAATTTGATGTTATATATATGTGCGTGTATATATACAGTCAGAACTCGATATAACGATTCGCGATAAGCCGATTTTGGCTTATAACGAACTTTTTCCTCAAACAAAACCACCTATAATTAATTTGATTACTGTATAACGATTTTATTATAAATTTCGCGATATTACATATAACGAAGTCTAGTTGTAAACCACTAATATGTATTTATTCGCGATTAACCGATAACGATTTTTTCCTCAATTTACCGATCATCGTTATAAAAAAAAGATTTCTTATTTTATTTAACGATCATCGATATAAAGATAAAATATTTTTCTGTATATAACGGATTATTCTTAATATAGCAATATAACAAGTGTTAATTGATCAAATTATAAATATTTGTTACCGTAGATCAAAAAATCATCATTTCTTTCAACCATACTTCGCTATTTCTTCTAAAAAAAAACGTGTTACATTATCTATAGGACAAAAGAAAGAGCTTTGTCTTAAAAAAAAAGCTGATAATACAATATTAAGCCTAATACAGTTAGTGATATTTTTAAAAAAAAAGTCTGAATATTTATCTATTTCTAGTTCTGAACAGGATAGGAAAATGTTTCGAGAGGCAGTTAGTATTTGGATGTCTCAGTTTTTGTCTATGAATCAAACATTACGTGGAGATATATTACAACAAAAGGCCAATTTGTTTGCGAATAAATTTGGCATTACAGGATTCAACTAATTTTAAAAAAGAAATAATCTTCGATCATATGTTAAATCGGGTGAGGCTGCTAGTGCACCTGATATTGATAAGCTTAATGAATACCGGACAACAATTGCCGAAAAATTATCCGAATATGATTTGCAAGATATTTACAACTGTGACAAAACAGGTATTCTAAACCAATTAATTTTAAATACTTTTTTATATTAAATCTTTATTTTTTTTTTACCCAGCTCTTTTCTGGCAATTAGAACCTTCAAAAAAACTTGCACAAGTCCTGTAATTGGAACTAAAAATCCAAAATCAGAGTTACTATTTTATTAACATGCAATACTACAGGTGAAGATAAACTCAAGCCGTTATTTATACATAAGTATAAAAATCCTCAACCCCTTCGTGGTATATCCATCAAAGATAGTATTGGAATAAGACTGCATGGATGTAACAGTCAATTTGGTTAGACTATTTAAAAAATTTAAATAGTTTAATATGTGCTTAAGGGAAAAACATTCTTTTATTAGTAGATAACGCTCCTACTCATGGAAAAGAAGATGAAATTCCTTTTTTTTTAGTAATATTGAATTATGTTATTTATCACCAAACATCACAGCGCATCTACAACCCTTAGACGCTAGAATTATTAACTCATTTAAAGCCAAATATCGAAAACTCTTGGTAGAATGCAGGGTTGAAGCATATGATCTTGCACAAGAGCTAAATAATCAAGCAATACCTGTTACAATCCGTAATGCAATTGATTTTGTTGTAAAAGCGTGAAACTAAGTTGAATCAACTACAATTAAAAACTGCTGGATAAAACTGAAATTCTACTATCTAAAGGTGATGAATTGGATGAGGAAGGTAATGATGAGGAAGATGATGTTAATGCTATTATTAAGTTGATTGAAAAGGAAGATCAAAAGGATTTGAAAGATGTGATCTGAAAATTACCATTTGATGATCCGTTATCTGCATTAGATTATATAAATGCTGATAAAATTAACAGCAATAATTGTTTTTTATTAGATGATGAAATTGTTGAAACATTAAGACTAAACCCAAATGCAGATGATTTGCAAGATGAAGAAGAAATTATTCCTGTTATTTTTTTGACAGAAGCATTGTTAATATAGAAAGCTTGATTAATTTACATAATTTTTCACTGGAAAATTTTGAAGTGACTAATGAAAAACTGAGAATCTTAAAAGGTATTAGGCATAAGGTAGTAATGGGTTTTGGATACGTTTTTTAGTTTTGAACAAGGTTTTGGACATATGAAATTATGTTCAAAACCTGTCCAAAACTACCTAAAATTGTCCAATTTCCCAACACTAGCATAAGGTGTTGAGATATAAATCAGAAACTTTAATCCAATTAAATATGGATGAATTTATTAACTTTTAATTAGAAATTTTTTTTTGAAAATAATTTACAATAATGGAATTTTATGGGAATATTTTATAAATAAAATGTAGGAATAACAAATAATGTAATATCAAATAAACAAATAATATATTCATGCATGAATATGTAATACAACAATAAATTTTTTTTTAATAATTTCTATAGCGAATTTTTACATTATTTAGTATATTAAAAAAAACTTATTTTTTCGAACCTTCATTATAATGAACCAAAATCATCAAACTGGAGGGTTCGTTATATTGAGTTTTGACTGTATATGTAAAATAGCAACAGAAAGTTCATAATGATATTTTTGATGATTTAATATATATTTAATTAATTTTATTGTATTTGATTATTTAATTAAATTAAAATAATAAATCAATAAACTTTATTGTCTATTTATTAATAAAATTTATATTATTGTCTTATTGATTCCTAATATAGTTTAATTGAAATATAGTTTGTATTATATAAAAGATCTTTAAGGATCCTCAATAGTAAATTAAGGAATCTTCAAGAATCCTATAAAATATGTTGACAGGGATTCCCACAGATAGCGAAGGTTCCCTACTAATAAAAAATTTGGAGGAATCCTCTAGGATTCTTAAGCTTAAAATATTACTGATTAAGGTAGAGTTAGAAAAAATAAAAAAGATATTGCTAATCTTTCAACTGAAAAAAGTCATAATTTTGAGAAAATTAAATCAAAGAGAGAATAATCACTGATTCTCCAAAGGTAATTCAGCAATTTTATCATCTAATATTCTGCTTATATGATATACTGACAGATGTTTTTCGTGTGCTTATAATAGGTGACTACTGCTGCTACTGCCACTGTTAACATCATTATTGTTGTTAGAATCAATAAATTTCCTTTAATTTATCCATATTTGGTCTTTTTGATGAATCTGTATTCCAAAATTTCTCTATCATTTGAACATAATCAATAAGTATATTTGATAATAATAGTGGTCTCAATCCATAATCTTTATCATCAAAAGGTGGATGTATCGCAAAAATTTTTCACATAAGTATACCAATACTATAAACATCTGATTCTTTTGTATTTTTTCTTCCTTGAAAAACTTTGGTGTAATATATGATATTATTCATAGATTTTACCTGATAATTCATCATTGACTGGTCTACACAACCCTAAATCTGATACCTTCTGCTATTAATATATTACGTTATGTAAGTCATAATGTATTAAATAAAGATAGGCATCATAATTAAGAAGTTGCAACTCGATAAGTTACAACTTGAGTTGCAACTTGATTGCAACTCCTTGTAAATTTATTTTAATATAAAAATTCATAAATAGTTGCAACTCAAAGTATTGCAACTTAAGTTGCAACTAGTTAAAAATTTTAAAAATAATTATGGGAACCATCTTTAGTATTAAATTTTTTTTATGTATCCAATATAATGAGTTATATAAACTATTGAGTATTGCAATTCTATCTTTTAATAGCTTAAAACTATTGCATAATTTCCATCATCCTCTGGAAATTTAATAATATCATAGCAAGAAGTAATGGTTTTCGATTTAATTTTACAGTAATTCAGTACCTGTAATTATACATAAAGTCGAAATAGATCATTTCAGATATCCAAATGGTCGAATTGGTCGAAATCATTTTGACTATTAGAAGTGAAAAGTCGAAATGGTGAAATGATATCATATCACATGATTTTTATATATAAAAAATAAAAAAAAAGATGTACAATCTCGGTCAATATCGCTCTGATTCGTATGAAACAACTACCATTCGATTCCTCAATGAACTCTTTCCTGAAATTTTCAGACTATTTTTTCAAAAAATATTAAAACTTTAAAAAATAATTTTTTCATTATACAAACTAAACACAAATAATATTAAAACATTTTTTATAACTTTTATAACAATGACTTCTAATACTTTAGAACTTTACAGCAATGTTTTAGTGAAAGATACAAAAATTTTTTATAATATATCGCTAATGTTACCTCACACCTCGCTGAAAGAGATGTGGCTATAGCAAAATTTTTAGGTTTTCAGACTCCTGAAATCTTTTGGCTTGTCAGAAAACTCAACTTCGAATATGATAAACTTTTTCCAGAAAAAATAG